GGTACGTGGACTGATGTTGTTACTGTTGAGCCAAACCAGCCATGGCTATTGTTTGATTCTTGTGTGTGCCCTGACCGGGGTCAAACTCACAACCTTGGCAACCTTGCCATATTGGGATGATGATCTATCAACTGAATGAGCCAGCCAGGGCTTAAATGTTTAGTTGGAACATCTGTTTTTCTCTGCAAATTTTATACCTGTCTTATTTTTCTGTTTTCCATAATTGGATGGCAGGATAGATTACATCATATATACTTTGTGTAAGAATAACAGAAACAAATTAATATTAAAAAATGTCTCGCCTGGCCGGTTTGGCTTAGCGATTAGAGTGTCAGCCTGCAGTCCCGAGAGACCCGTGTTCAGTTCCTACTAGGGGCATGTACCTTGGTTGCAGTTTGTCCCTGGCCCTGTTGGGTTGTGCGGGTGACAGCCTCTTAATGTGTCCCTTTCACATCGATGTTTCTTTCTTCCCATCTTTTCCTTCCACTTTGAACAAAAAAATGTCTCATGGCATTTAAATGCTTTTTTATTTAAAAAAATTTTTTTATGAGAGAGAGGTAGAGAAACAAACATTGTTTTTTTATCAATTCATTTATGCATTAATTGATTGAATTTATATGTGCCCTGACCGGGGATTGAACCTGCAACCTTTAAGTATCAGGATGATGCTCTAACCACCTGACCTACAAGGCCAGGGCTACTAAATGCTTTATTATTAAAATTACTCTTTTAGCCCTGGCCAGTTTGGCTCAGCAGTTAGAGCGTTGGCCTGTGGTCCAGAGAGACTCAGGTTCAGTTCCTGCTAAGGGCACATTCTTTGGTTGCAGTTTGTCCCCTGCCCTAGTTGGGTCATGCGGGTGGCAACCACTCGATGTATCCCTCTCATGTCGATGTTTATCTCTCTCTCTCTCCTACTCTATCTGAACAAAATATGGAAAAATGTCCTTGAGTAAGGATTTAAGAAAAAAAAAAGTGGACAAAGATGTGCAAATGTCTTTTTTGCAGATATTCCCATGGAATTTTTTTTTTTCATCCTCACCCGAGGACATTTTTCCATTTTTTGTTCAGATAGAGTGGGGAGAGAGAGAGAGAGAGAGGGGGAGAGAGAGAGAAACATCGACGTGAAAGGGACACATCGAGTGATTGCCACCCGCAGGACCCAACCAGGTCCGGGGACAAACTGCTACCGAGGTACGTGCCCCTAGCAGGAACCGAACCCAGGTCTCTCTGGACCACAGGCCGACGCTCTACGCTGAGCCAAACTGGCCAGGGTGGGAAATTTTTTTTTTTAATATTTGTTTTATATATAGTTTTTTTTATTGACTTTAGAGGTAGCGGGAGAGACAGACAGAAACATTGATTAGAGAGAACATCCATCAGCTGCTCCCCAAACACCCCCACTGGGGATTGGCCCACACCCTGGGCATGTGCTCTGTCCGGGAATTGAACTAGTGTCCTCACGTTGCATGGGTTGATCCTCAACCACTGAGCCACACCAGCCGGGCCTGAATGACTTTTTAAATAGCAGCTTTTAGGTTCACAGCAAATGGTGTAGGAGTTAATGAGAATTCCAATATGTTACCTGCTTCTAAATGCATAACCTCCCTCTTCTCAGTCTTTTACCAGAGTGATACATTTGTTACATATATGCACCTACACTGGCACATCATGAGCACCCAGAGTTTTAGTTTACCTCAAAGTTTAGTGTTGTGTTGTACATTCTATGTCTTTGGAAAAATTTCTGATGACATATATCTACCATGATAGTATCATTTGGATTAGTCTCTTGACCCTACGTATTCCCTATGCTCTGCATATTCTTTTTTTTTTTTTATCCTCATCTGAGGACATTTTTGCATGTATCTTCAAATAGAGCCCGAGGGAGGAAGGAGAGAGAGAGAGAGACATCGATATGAGAGAGACACATCGAGTAGTTGCCACCTACAGAACCCCACCCGGCCCAGGGACAAACTGCAACTGAGGTGCTCTAACTACTGAGCAAAATCGGCCAGGGATGGATATATTTCCCTGTGTCCCCTAAACTCTTTCCACCATTGAATTTTTTTTTTAATGTTTTACTCATTTTTTCTTTTCTAAAATATCTTATAGTTATTATCATATAGTATATAGCCTTTTCAGATATAATTGTTTTTAAATTTTTCCTTATTCATATTTTATACCTACAGCAAGGGAGAGAGAGAGAGAGAAACATTGATTTGTTGTTTCCCTTATTTATGCGTTCATTGGTTGATTCTTGTATGCACACTGGCCAAAGATTGGACCCACAGTATTGGCATATCAGGATGATGCTATAACCAACTGAGCTACCTGGCCAGGCAGATTGGGTTCTTACACTTAATTCTATGTATTTAGGTCATCTTTACATGGCTTGACATATTATTGCTGTATATTGCTGAATAATACTCCATTGTATGTACTTCAGTTTACTTATCCATTCACTGTTTTTAGACATCTTCATTGCTTCCAATTTTTGTAAATTATAAATAAACATGTCATAAATACAGCCCCTTGTAGGCTTTTGTATAGATAGAAGATTTAACTCTTTGGTTAAATACTAAGGAGCACAATTAATGGATTATAGTAAGTGTATGTTTAATTTTATAAAAGTATCTCAACTGTCTTCCCACGTGGCTGTAGCATTTTGCAGTCTCTGTAGCAATGACTGAGCATTCCAGTAGCTCCACATCCACATCAGCATTTTGTGCTGTTAGTTTTCTGGCTTTCCAGTAGTGGTTTAGTATTGCTTGAGTGTGCTGTTTGTTAGTTTTCATTGTTTTATTTATTGATTTTTTTATCCTCACCCAAGGACTTTTTTCCATTTTTGTTCAGAGAGAGTGGGTGGAAGAGAGAAGAAGAGAGAGAGAGAGAGAGAGAAACATTGATGTGAAAGGGACACATCGAGTGGCTTCCTCCCACACGACCCAACCAGGGCCAGGGATGAATTGCAACTGAGGTATGTGCCCTTGACCGGATCAAACCTGAAACTCATTGGTCCATGGGCTGACGCTCTAACTGCTGAGCCAAACTGGCAAGGACATTCTCGTTGTTTTAAAATATGTTTTTATTGATTTTTTAGAGGGAGAGAGAGAGAGAGAAACATTGATGAAAGAGAGAAACATCGATCGGCTGCCTCCTGCACAACCCCAACCTGGGCCCGGGACTGAACCACAACCAAGGTGCGTGCTCTTGACTGGAATTAAACCTGAGATTCTTTGTTCCATGGGCTGATACTCTAACCACAAAGCTGTACTGGCCAGGGACTTCATATATATCTTTAATACCATAGTCTTTGTGGTATGTACTGGCGTTCTTTTAGCACTCTGCATCTTGCACAACAGAATCATGGTCCCCAGCACACTTCACAACAGCGAGATCATGGAACATACAGAGAAGAAAAGAGGAAACTGGGGGTTAGGAGTTTTCTTATAATATTGGCATTGTGTGCCAGGGGGTTTGAGCACATATTGTTGGTAAATGTAAGCAACTTTTGTCCCTTTTTGATGTGACTTTTTCTCATTGTACCTATCTTGAGCTTTCTTTTTTTTTTAATCCTTACCCGAGGACATTTTTCCATGTTTTGTTCAGGTAGAGTGGGAGGGAGAGAGCGAGAAGCATTGACGTGAAAGGGACACATTGAGTGGTTGCCACCCACATGACCCAACCAGGGCCGGGGACAAACTGCAAGCGAGGTACGTGCCCTTAGCAGGAACCGAACCCGGGTCTCACTGGACCACAGGCTGATGCTCTAACCACTGAGCAAAACTGGCCAGGGCTATCTTGAGATTTCTTTGAACTCTTCACTTTTGAAATACTCAAAAATATTACTTGATCGATACTTGCTGGTAAGTTCAAAGTACATTAACCTTAGTGTCAAAACTGAAAATTCTTTTTTTTTCCAGTTATGTCCCCTGAAGACAACCAGGACTTTCTGCAGAAGTCCAGACTACAATATTTATTCTCTGAAATAATACTGGTAAGATATGAATTGCGTGGCTTTTATAATGTTTACTTAATGAAAGACTTGGAATTTGAGAGAGTGTGGTGAGAAGAAACATGTTCGTATAAATCGAATTACCCTGGGGCACATATTCATAATGAAGTTGTTGTCACTTAAAGAGGTCAAGGATATTGATACATTTGGAAAACTCCCAATTGAAAGTCACTTATATTTGCAGATTACTGTATTTCTATATGGGAGGATCAAAAACAATTTTTTACTGTTGTATATTCTTGGAAAGGAAATCTAGAAAAACTATGAACTCATATAATCTGTGGTTTAAATAATAATTTGAATTGTTTGAAATGTAGGGTGGGCCTGGCCAGTGTTGCTCAGTGGTTGAGCATCGACCCATGAACCAAGAGGTCACCCGTTTAATTCCCAGTCAGGGTACGTGCCCAGGTTGTGGGCCAAATCCCCAGTGAGGGGCATGCAGGAGGCAGCTAGTTGATGTCCTCTCACATCAGTGTTTCTATCTTTCCCTCTCTCTTTCTGTCACTCTACAAATCAATAAAGAAAAAAAAAATTTTTTTAATAAAATAAAATGTAGGGTGGGATTAATCTTTCAGCCAATTATTTTTAAAATTTATTAATTTATTTAAAATCTATTAACATTAATTGTGATCAGTTTGGCAATCTTTTTTACAAGGAATCATTATACTTCCCTGAGAACAAGTATTTTTTTTTTTTAATCCCACGTCTATAATTTTCTTGTGCACAGTAACAGTCTTTTATACAACCATCATGGTTTAGTAAGTATCAACAAATGGTTCCTATGGAACAATTGTACGTGTTTAATGAAATCATAGCTGTCACTAAAGGCTGTTCTATTTTCCATGATTGTCAGAGTACATATAATGGAGACAGAAGTTACCAGTGGAGTAAACATTGGAAAAGCATTAAGGAAGATTCAAATTCCAATAGTCATCAGCGATGTCAGCTTCCAGAGAAACATTATAAATGTGGAAAAGTCTTTGACCCAATGTCAAATCACAGTATACATCAGGATATTCATATTGTGGAAAAAATAAATGAACGAACTAAATGTGTCAAATCTTTGAAACAATCTTCAAATTACACTGAACAAGAGAATATTCATAACAGAGAGGAGGCTTACAAATGGAAGCCCTGCGGGGGAGTCTTCAGTCAAATATTCAATCCAAATAGACTTAAAAAAATCTATACTGGAGAAAAACCTCATAAATGTAAAGATGTTGGTGAAACATCTACCTGGACTAAAAGTTTTGCTCTAAATCAGAGAACTCTTATGGGAGAGAAGCCTTACAAATGTGAAGCATGTGGTCAAACCTTTAAATGGCATACATGTCTTACTGTACATGAAAGAAGAATTCATAGCAGGGCAGAATTTTACAAATGCACGGAATGTGGAAAAGAATTTAATCAGTCCTCAGTATATACTGAACATCAGAGAATTCATACTGGAGAGATATCTTATAATTGTTCAGAATGTGGCAAAGACTTTAGCTGCCAGTCGAGTCTTTATAGACATCAGAGAGTTCATAGCGGAAAGAAACCATATAAATGTAGAGACTTTGTTGACAAAACCTTCAGCCAGTCCTCTAGCTTAACTGTCGATCAGAGAATTCATACTGCAGAAAAGCCTTGTAGAGAATGTGGCAAAACCTTTAGTTGGTCCTCAAAACTTACTGTCTGTCATCGAATTCATTCTGGAGAGAAGCCTTATAAATGTAGAGAATGTGGCAAAGACTTAAGCCAATCCTCTGGTCTTACTGTCTGTCAGAGAATTCAAACTGGAAAGAAGCCATATAAATGTAGGGAATGTGGCAAAGCCTTCAGCCGGTCTTCAGAGCTTGCTGTCCACCAGATCATTCATACTGGAGAAAAGCCTTATAAATGTAGAGAATATGTCCAATGCTTCAGTCATATTTCAACCCTTGCTGTCCATCAGAGAATACATACTCGAGAGAGACCTTACAAATGCATAGAATGTGGCAAAGCCTTTGGACAGTCGTCAGCCCTTACTTATCATCAGAGAGTTCATACTAGGTGGAATCCTTATAAATGTAGAGAATGTGGCAAAGCCTTTCTTAACACCTCAAGCCTGATTCAACATCAGAGTGTTCATACTAGAAAGAAGCCTTCCAAATCTAAAGCATGTAGCAAAGCCTTTAAACGGAATTTAAGTCTTACTGTACATGAGAGAATTCATGCTAGGGCAAAACTTTACAAAGGTAGGAAATGTGGAAAAGGCTCTACTCAGTGCTCAAACCATACTACACATCAGATAATTCATACTGGAGATAAGTCTTATAAATGTTCGATATGTGGCAAAGCCTTTAGCTGTCATTCAAAATTTACTGAACATCAGAGAATTCATACTCGAGAGAATCCATATAAATGTAGAGAATGTGGCAAAACCTTTGGCAAGGCCTCAGGCCTTTCTGTCCACCAGAGGATTCATACTGGAGAAAAGCCTTATAAATGTAGACAGTGTGGGAAAGAATTCAGGCAGTCCTCAAACCTTACTGTTCATCAGAGAATTCATACTGGAGAGATACCTTACAAATGTGTAGAATGTGGCAAAGCCTTTAGCCAGTCCTCAACCCTTACTATACATCAGAGAGTTCATACTGGAGAGAAGCCTTATAAATGTAGAGAATGTGGTAAAGCATTTAGCCAGTCTTCATACTTTACTCGACATCAGAGAGTTCATACTGGAGAGAAGCCTTATAAATGTAGAGAATGTGGCAAAGCCTTCAGTGAGTCCTCTGGCCTTACTGTCCATCAGAGAATTCACACTGGAGAAAAACCTTATCAATGTAGAGAATGTGGCAAAGCCTTTGTCAAGTCCTCACAGCTTACTGTCCATAAAAGAATTCATACTGGAGAGAAACCTTATATATGTATAAAATGTGGCAAAGGCTTTCGCCAGACCTCTGCCCTTACTTATCATCAGAGAATTCACACTGGAGAGAAGCCTTATAAATGTAGATAATATGGCAAAGCCTTTAGCTGATCCTCTAATTTTACTGTCCATCAGATAATTCCTTTATCAGTACTGAGAACTTACTGAGCATCACAGAATTCATACTGGCAAGAAGAGTTATGAATGTGAATAATGTGGAAAAGCCATTCACATCTTACTGTATATAAGAGAGTTCATATTGAAGGGAGAACTTACAAATGTAGAGAATGTGGTAGAACCTTTATTCACTACTTAAAACCTAGTCAACATAAGCGAATTCATAATGGAGGAAAGCCTTACAAATGTAGAAACATGTGAGAAAGCAATATCCAGTGTATAAACCTTAATGTACGTTAGAGCATTCATACTGCAGAGTAACCATACAAATGTAAGGAGTATGAAAAATTCTTTCCTTGGCAGTGGGATATTATTTAACATCAGATAATTTTTTTCAACAAAAGCCTTTCAAATGTAAATAATGAGGTAAACCTTTAATTATCAACACAAGATAATTCATACTGGAAAGAAACCTTACCAAAGTAGAGAATGTGGCAAAGCCTTTCACCTGTGCTCAAACTTACTCAACATTGGAGAAATCATTCTAAAGAAAAACAGTAAAAATATAAAGAATTTGGCCAAGGATTTAACTAATGTTTAAACTTCCTTGAGCTTGATAAAATTAAGCCTTTAATTTGTAACACACAGCCCAAAATGTATATCCTCATATCTTAAACTCTGATCATTATTACTGGATAGAGGTCCAAGAAATATAAAGAATGTGGCAAAGTTTGATTCAGTAAACCTTACTCGACAATAGAATTCAATACTGGAGAGAAACAATAAAAATGTAAACAGTGTTTAAAAGTCTTTATTCAGCATTCATAACTTACCCCTTACTAGAGGAAAACCTTAAAATTGAAGAATGTAGGAAATCATAAGGCTGGACCTGTAATATCAGAGATTACAACTATGGAGGAATTCTAAATTCATGAAATAGAAGGAAAGACTTTTGTTCAAAATACACATTTCACAAAAACCCAACGAGTGTATGCCTTAAAGTGAAAAATTTACCAATGTATGTAATTGACTATGAATATCAAAATGTCACTAAGTTCACACTAGATATTTAGAAATACTTTTCAGGTATTACGCTAAATCAGAATACTTATACACAATAACCCAAAATTTAAATTAAGTAATTTTTAGTATTCTTGTATATATCAAAGAATGGATGTTTCCATATGTATAATTACTGTTATTTATTTTATATTGACATTATTGGTGATATTTTGAAAAGGAAATATTACTGTGATTTTACTTTCATGCCACTTTATGCTACTATGTTTATTCCTGGTATATGTATGAAATCATGCGGTTGATTGTTACTACCTTAAAGATCTGTCAGTGCTTGTATATTACATGGGTTTGCCATCTATATACCTTTCACAGAATATTGTGTACATTGTAAGGCACAGTGTATGAAGATAATGTATATGGAGATTCTATTTGTGGTTGACTTAAAATGTTTTTGTACGTCACCATGAAGAGCATTATAAATTTTAAGTACACTTACCAATTATTATTTAATGAAAATATGGTCTTCTCAGTTTATTAAAATGTTTATGTGTCTTTATAGTAGCCATAGCTAGAAGTGATGAATATTAATTGATGTGGTTGAAGTAAAAAAGTAATGAGGGCCCTGGTCGGTTTGGCTCAGCAGTTAGAGCGTCGACCTGCGGTCCAGAGGGACCTGGGTTTGGTTCCCGATAAGGGGACGGACCTAGGTTGCAATTTGTCCCCAGTCCCGGTTGGGGTTGTGCAGGAGACAGCCACTCGATGTGTCCCTTTCACGCCGATGTTTCTCTCTCTCTCTTTCTCCCTCACTCTCCCTCCCACTCTATCTGAACAAAAATGAAAAAATGTCCTCAAGTGAGGATAAAAAAAAAATGTGATGAGGAATATCTGGGTAAGTGCACACAAATCATCTTCAAGTGCATACAATTATTGTACATCCATGTTTTCTAAATTATTAGTCTCCATTCCATTCTGAACCCCAAAGGAAGCACAAGGATCACATTGTATCAGAAAAAGAGTAAAGCTTCCTAAATGTTTGTATTGTGCATTTTGACAAATGGTTACACTGTTGGTTTTCATAGTTTATTTAGAGTATGTGTGAACTTAATATTTTCATCAGTAAAGCTGAATGAGGCTTTCTATGGTCATGTATCCAAGCTTACTTTGGTTTTAGGTAACAATATTCTGTTTGTTAATGCACTGGGGTTATGTCTTTAGCAAACCCTTTTCCCAGTGGCCTTGAAGTTTCAATAATGTGAAAAGAGTTCTCCATTATTGATGTATTTTTTATTTTATTGTGCCTATGGGACAGTATGATAGTTATAGTAAGTGTGACACAAGTATTTTTGAGAGTTCAGTTAAACTACATCATGATATTGCTGCCATGGCATTTCTTTTCTGTAGCCAGGAGCTTTGTTATTGATTTTTTTTTTTTTTTAAATCCTCACCCGAGGATATATTTCCATTTTTTGTACAGATAGAGTGGGAGGGAGAGAGAGGAAGGGAGAGAGAGAGAAACATCGACGTGAAGGGACACATCGAGTGGCTGCCACCCGCACGACCAACCAGGGCCGGGGACAAACTGCAACCGAAGTACGTGCCCTTAGCGGGAACCGAACCCGGGTCTCTCCGGACCGCAGGCCGACGCTCTAACCGCTGAGCCAAACTGGCCAGGGCTGTAGCCAGGAGCTTTGAACTGACACTGTTCTCTCCCTCAACTGCATGCGCTAGGCGACAGCTCACAGAGTCAGAAGTAAATGTAAGTTCCTGATGTGTCTTTTGGCAGCTGCTTTAAGCAACAGTCTCTGGCAATTCAGGGTGTTCATCATGTATGGCCCTTAGATAAGATCTTTGCATACCTTACAAAAACCTTGTTCTTTTTGGTTAAATTTGAATAATCTAAGTTGATCTCCAGAATTCCCAAGCACTTTGCTCATGTAACCTAATAACAGCATGTTTCCTGGGTCCTGCCGCTCTCTGATCCACCATGCTTTCATCTCCACATGCAGCCCCTTCGCTGTCCTGTGTACTTTCTTCCTAGCTTGTCAGTTATAAATGTTTCTGATGCAGTATCCCTTGTGCTTCCCATCCAATCCCAGGTGCTCTGCTAAACACATACTGATTTAACAAAGTCCAAACAAGTATACTTAGGAAGTTCTTTTTAACTTTTGAGACTATGTATATTTTTTGGCAGATATTTTATATCTGAACCCACATAAACAGATTTACATGATGTGAAACAAAAGTGCAGTATGTACACATAATAACCTAAAGGTGTAATGGAGGAATAGTAGGATATAGGAAAAAATGTCCGTGTATTTGTGCGCTTATTTTTGAAGGATAGGGAAATAATGGGCTAAAATAGGTAATTTAAATGTATTTGATGATTTGTCACGAGCAGTGTGGCTCATTTGGTTGAACTGTCTTCCTGTACAGCGAAAGGTTTCAGGTTCAAATCTCCATCTGGGCACAACTAAGGTTGGTGGTTCGATCTCTGGTCGGGGCAGGTATGGCAGGCAACCATTTGATGTTTCTTACATCGATGTTTCTCTCTCTTTACCCCTTCCTCTATAAAATATATAAACATATCCTTGGGTGAGGATTTTAAAAAATTGATGATTTAAGCCCTGGCTGGTTTGGCTCAGAAGTTATAGTGTCGCCAGTGGACCAATGCGTCTTGGGTTTGATTCCAGTCAAAGGCACATGCCTCGGTTGCGGTTTGTCCCTGGCCCTGGTCGGATCGTGTGGGAAGTGACCAGTCAATGTGACTCTATCAGAGCCATGTTTCTCTGTCTCTCTCTCTCTCTCTCCTACTCCCAATCTATCGAATGATAAATGGAAAAATATGTTCGGGTGAGGAATAAAAAAAAAATTAATGATTTAATACCCACCTAGAAATCTCACTGATTTGTAATATGCAAGATTTTTTGTATATTGCAATCCTGTACATTTATTTATTTATTTTTTTGGTGCATGCCCCTAGCGGGAACTGAACCCAGGTCTCTGTGGTCCGCAGGCCGATGCTCCAACCACTGCGCCAAACCGGCCAGGGCCTGTACATTTATTTTATCCAAAACTCATAACTCTTGGTTTCAGAATCTTACATTACAGTTGTCTTCTTTAATTTCCTGTGTTTTGCCCAGCAGGTGTGGCTCAGTGGGTGGAGCGTTGTCTCAAGGACTGAGAGGCTCTGGTGTATTTCCTGGTCAGGGCACAGGTCTGGCATGTGGGATGGATCCCCAGTGGGGGCATGCAGGAGGCAGTCGATGGATGTTTCTCACATCAATGTTTCTATCTCTCCCTATCTAAAATAAATAAATAAATAAATAAATAAATAAATTGCCTGTTTCACACAAAACCAACTATAGTTTTCTCTTGTTCCATAGGTAATGAAATATATTGCTTATATATGACTCACTAAGGACATTTAAGAATGGTGTTTATAGTTTTTTTTAATATTTTTTATTGGTTTTTTTTTTTTGATAGAGGAAGGGAGAGAGAGAAAAATATCTATGTGAGAGAGAGACATCCATTGGCTACCTTCCACACCCCCTACTGGGGATCGAGCTTGTAACCTGGGTATGTGCCTGACCAGGAATTAAATGGGACCTCTCAGTCCATGGGATGACAGTCCACAGAGCCACACCAGCCAGGTGGTTTTTGTAGAATTTAATGATAAACAGACATCAACTGGAAAATGTTGGTAATTTCACAGAGAACACACATGAAGTTTCATTTTGTTTACTTAACTGTATTTTCCCTCTGTTAGAGCATAACACTATTTTTGTTAATACTCTCCCTAGGTTATTTTTCCATTGATTTTTTACATAGATATAGAGTGTAACAGAGAGAAAGAGAGAGGGAGGGAGGGAGAAAAAAACACTGATGTCAGAGAGAGACACAGTGATTGATTGTCTTCCGCACAACCCCAGCCGGGGGTGGAAATTGAACTCTCGACCCCTTGGTCCACTGGCTGATAATCTAAACACTG